CTCCTTAGTCGTGATGCAGCAAGTGAAATGGGTATAGTTAAGAGGCTAGAAGAGCTCCGACCCATTTATTTTTCTGAACTGGGATTAGTGAAGACAAAACCCATTAAAATCTGCCTGAAAGAGGATGCTGTACCATACAGTGTGCACACTGCAAGACGGGTGTCCGTGCCCTTGCTTCCAAAAGTCAAGGCGGAGCTAGAGAGAATGGTACAATGTGGTGTTGTTGAGGAGATCACTGAGCCTACTGAGTGGTGCGCCCCTATGGTGGCCGTTCCTAAGAAGACAGGGCAAATAAGGATTTGTGTGGATCTAAAACAACTAAATAAAGCTGTAAAAAGAGAGAAATTTGTGCTGCCAACAATTGACGACATCCTTCCTAGGCTAGCACACGCCGAAGTTTTCTCACTTCTTGATGCAGCTAGTGGCTTCTGGCAGTTTCCACTGGATATGGACTGTGCTAAACTGACAACGTTCATTACTCCTTTTGGTAGATATTTTTTCCGCAGGCTACCGTTCGGTATCACCAGCGCACCCGAAATCTTCCAACGGGAAATGTCGGTAATCCTCAAAGACCTTGAAGGAGTTGCAGTCTTCATGGACGATATTTTAGTATTTAGCAACACTCCAGAGGAACACGAGCAGCGACTGCAGAAGGCTCTGGAAGCCATTGACCGGGCTGGTCTCACGCTGAACACGGAAAAGTGCCTGTTACGTCAGAGTCAACTCAGATACCTGGGACATGTCATAGACAAAGAGGGCATTCGCCCAGACACAGCAAAAATCGAAGCTATCACTCACCTTGAAAAGCCAAAGAACGTCTCAGACCTACGGAGAATGCTAGGAATGATTCATTACCTGGGCAGGTATGTTCCTCATCTCTCAGAGGTTATTCGACCTCTCAACGAGCTGTTGAAACGTGATGTAGTATGGTACTGGGGTGCTGTACAAGAAGAGGCCTTTGAAAACGTGAAACACCTAATCACTAAAGCTCCTGTGCTAGCATTCTATGATGTTACAAAGCCCACAGTCGTCAGCGCAGATGCGAGCAGCTACGGTCTTGGAGGCGTTTTGCTGCAGGACCATGGTGGACAGCTGAAACCAGTGGCTTACTGTTCCAGGGTGCTGACCGATGCTGAAAAACGGTACGCCCAGATCGAAAAAGAGTGTCTGGCGGCCGTGTGGTCCTGTGAAAAATTCTCACGATTTCTGTATGGATTGGAAAGTTTCATCCTGCAAACCGACCATAAGCCACTGATTCCACTGATCAACGCAAAGGATCTTGATTCCGTTCCACTGAGATGTCAAAGGTTGTTGCTGCGGATGATGCGTTACAATCCTGTCGCACAATATGTACCTGGCAAACAACTGGTGGTCGCTGATACGCTTTCACGACACCCTCAGCCAACCATTTCATCAGTGGTCTCTGAATTAGTCCAAGAAGTGGAAGCCTATGAGAATGCTGTCAGTGGTGCATGGCCAATTTCTCCCACAAAGCTGGAATCTGTGAAAAGAGAGACAGAGATGGATTTTGAGCTACAAAAGGTGAGGCAGTATGTGACTGATGGCTGGCCCAGGTATGCAGCTAATGTCCCTCAAGCCTTGAAATCATACTACAGTGCACGTCATCATTTGTCAATTTTCCAGGATCTACTGCTTTATGATGACAGGATCATAATTCCCCAAAATATGAGGTCTGACATACTGCAAAGATTGCACAGCGGTCACCAAGGCATTGTGAAATGTAGAGAGAGAGCCAGATGTAGTGTGTGGTGGCCAGGCTTAAGTCAGGAAATCCAGCAGCTAGTTAACAGCTGCAAGGACTGTCTGGAATCAAGACCTACCTAAAGGAAGGAGCCACTTTTAACCACTCCACTGCCAGACCGTCCATGGGAGAGAATCGGTGCTGATATCTGCGAGGTGAATAAGCAAAATTACTTGGTAGTCGTGGACTATTTTTCAAGATATATTGACATTGCTCACCTTCAAAACTTGTCAGGTGAAACAACACGTGCTTGCCTAAAGAACATGTTTGCACGATGGGGCTGTCCCAATGTTCTCTTTACTGACAACGGCCCACAGTTTAGTGGAAGTGCTTTCAAAGACTTCGCTAGAGACTATGATTTTCAGCACATTACTTCGAGCCCTTATTATGCCCAGTCAAATGGAGAAGCTGAAAGGGCTGTGCAAACAGCTAAAAGGATCCTGAAACAGTCTGACCCATTCACAGCTTTGATGAGCTACAGAGCCACACCCATTCAAGCTACAGGCGTAAGTCCAGCACAGCTGATGATGGGAAGACAAATAAGAACTACAGTTCCCACATTGGAGTCTCACCCGCGACCTGAATGGCCTGATCTGCGGCAAGTAAGAAAGGCTGATAAAAATGCAAAGAGGACCTACAGGAAGTATTACAACAAAAGAAACGGTGTTAGAACATTACCAGAGATTCCACCTGGAACTTCTGTTGCAGTCAAGCTGGATGCTGAAAGAGGTTGGATAAGATCCGGGACTATTCTCAGAAAGTGTGAATCACCACGGTCTTACCTCATCCAATCTGAAACTGGAGTACTTCGACGAAATCGACGACACCTGATGCCTACAGTCAGTGACACTGAACCAGCATCTATTTCAGTTCAACAAACTCAGAGGAAAAATGAAGTTCGTGGTCAAAATCAACTTGTAACTGAGCCGGATAACGTCCCAGACAGTACAGTGCAGTATGAACAACCAGGAACTGATCCGCCTGAGTCTGATTCTAGCCACACCATGGTTAGTTCACCAAAAAGAGTGCAAACAAGGTCTGGACGAATTGTCACTACTCCTAAGAGATTCAAGGACTTTGCAAGATAAAGAAAGACTTTGAGAGAGAGAGGAAAAAATGTAAACAAATGTTGTTTTCTGACTATTGTAATTTAACAGTTCAATGTTACATTTGTTAAGTAACTCATAGGGAAGGGTGATGTGATATAAAACAGTTTATATCGTTGTTATAGGTAATATGTTTTAGTCCATTAGGTGGCGATCGAGTGTTTGGGTCAAGTTGCAGACATCCAAAGAAAACGCTAGTCGACATTTATCTAGAGAGTAACGTTAGTCACATGGTGTTTTGCATGTAAGTTACAGTAAGAAAAGCTTGATGTTAATAAAGCTCAGACTTTGAGAAACTAAGTTGCTTTATTGGAACATTACAGTATTGACAAATAATCTGCCCACTGACATGGTTTTAAAGCTATTTCTTATCCTTTTTTTTTTTGGTCTTCAAACGTCTTGAAATGCACATATCAGAAATAAAAAATTTGAACCCCCTACCAATCTCAAATAAATGTAGGACCTCTGTGATTATAAAGCCCTGTCTACGGCCCTGTATTAGGCATAAGATCAATAATAAATGTGTAGCCTACATATTGTAAATGCATTTAATAAACTTAATTACCTTTAGTAGCTTTCAGTAAATAAACGTGTCTGAGAAAATGATTCATAGGCAAAATCAACCTATCAGTTGACCCTATGTTTACTTTCTTCACTGACAGACAAAAATGAAAAGCCTATATCAGTCAAAGCTCAGCTTTAGGAGGGGAAGAGACAGGGCAAGAGAAAAACAAAGAGAAAAAAAGTGATGCTGCTGAGGAGGAGAGAAAAATTGTCAGCTGCCCACTATCCAAGTTTTTTGGCCTTCAGAACATCTTAAAATGCACATATGTAGATCAGAGAAATCAAAATTTTCTCGGGGAGGCCCCGAACCCCCCTATTTGCCCTGCCTCACATTTGGGACCACAGTTATTATAAAACCGTGCCTTTGCATCGTAATGAAAATGGTTAATAGTGATCTTTAGATCCTAAACTAAAGTGTTACCTTTTTTTATAATTTGTTTAAAAATCATATTGGGGGCTTAGCCCCCCTAAAATGAAAATCCTAGTGACGCCCCTGCTTGTGGCAACCTGGTGGTATTTTGAATTAATTAGGCTAACACAAAATAAAACTGCATCAATTTTTTTTATGTTTTTGAAAGAAGTCTATAACGCTCATCAGGGCGACATTTGTTTGTTCAAAAATACAATAAAATCAGTGTAATATTATTAGAATTTAAAATGTTGTATTTTAATACGGTTTAAAATATAACTTATTCCTGTGATTTAAAGCTGAATTTTCAGCATCATTACTCCAGTCTTCAGTGTCACATTATCCTTCAAAAATCATCATAAATGCTGATTTGCTGCTCAAAACAAATTCTTATTATAAATGTTGAAAACAGTTGTGCTGCTTCATATTTTTGTGGAAACCATCATACATTGAACTTTTAGTTCATCAAAGAATCCTGAAAATAAAAAGGAAAAGCATTTATTTGAAACAGAAATCTTTTATAACATTAAATGTCTTCACTGTCACTTTTGATAGATTGCATCCTCTGTGAATAAAAGTATTAATTCATGAAAAAAATCTTATTGACCCCAAAACCTTTGACCGATAGTCTATATTTTCTCATGAGATCGGGTAGGATATTCTAATGTGACATTTGCACACACAAATGTTACAAGATTTTAAAGCAAATTTGGGATTTTCTATATAATTCCGGTAATGAATTATGAAAAAACAGTAATGAAATGATCTGCATATCTGTATGATTGTCTTACCTATTTACAGTACGTTCACCTAGATATATATTCTTCTGAATAATTATGAAACAATCTTGTAAAGTAAAACCTGCAGGTATAAATAGCTCAATCGTTATCATCTCAACACCATTGTTCTCTGCAATAATTATGAAGGCATGTTCTTTTCCAGTGGTTTGACATGCTTTTTCAATGTTTTGATGAAATTTCATGACTGAAAAGTTTCTTCTTCAGAGTTTTCCGTTATTTAAAAACTCAAGTGAACACAAGTAAAAACACCACTTCAAATCAGAATGTCGCTCCAAATCAGGACGTTGCTCCAAATTAAGGACGTCACTCAATATCAGGGCATCACTCCAAATCGCTCTCAAAATGATGGTGTCACTCCAAATTAGGGCATCGCTTCAATTCAGTGTATGAATCCCAAATCAGAATGTCTCTCCAAATCGGAGTGTGACTCTAAATCAGGGCTTCACACAAAATCAAGACATCATGAAATCAGGGTGTCTGAAATAACCGTTGGGCTTTTTTTTATTCCTGAAGCTGTCGCCGGCATTACACCATGGTCTCCTTTTTATTGTTTTTGCACAAGAAGTGCATCGTTAGATGTTTTTGTTTCTGCTGTGTCTTCACAGGGCGGGGAATCTGCAGCCGGACGCTGGGATTCGTCGCATTCCACGTCCTGAAAAGATGAACGTGGTAACGGAGGGATACCTGCAGTAAAAAAGGAAGATTATGCAGAAAGTTTGCCATTTTAGTGTCATTTGACTTTTTTATTACTCTTGTACAGATTTGTTCACCAAAGTCCAGATTCTATCGTGCCATGAGAGACCGTGGGAACGCAAATTTTTTGCGAAAGAACGCAAAGTTTCTCGGGGGACGCAAAGTGTTAGAGAATGCAAAGGTTTTGAAATATGTTTTTTCTTTCCATCTAATTTTTTTTTTTTTTTACCACCACCATGTTGTCCCTTTAGGGGCTCCATACACTGCACATAAAAAATATCTAGGTGTGTTTACACCATGTTGAAATTACTGTAATTACGAGATTCCGATGTGTAAAAATCAAGTCCTCGTAAACAATTATAAACTATGACTTGACCTCTGCAGATTCTTTTTGCCGTTGATAGTGTTGCCGTGGAAGTGCAAAATTCCGAGGACATGAAAAGCTCCAAGCAGAACATAACGAGTTGTCATTTAACTTTCATTTAGCTAGACTGAAAACAAGAGTAAACTTACAACAGTCCAGAAGAGGTAAATAGTGAAGAGTGTCAGTGTGAGAACTATGAGTCCGATGGCCTCCATGCTGTTGCTGTAGTACAGATCCATGGCTCCCTGCACACACAGCCATCCCGACAGACTGGCTAATGGTGTGATGAGCAGGAAACAGATCGCGTCCCCACACAGTGTCCGCCTCTGGTGCTGCATGGACGGTGTAGTGAACCACTGGAGCCATGAAAAACACATGATTAGAAGGGTATTACACGTACAGCAATTTGAGCAGGTAATGTTACTTATTTAGAAACAATAAATAAGTATATATTTATATTATATTTATATTTAAATAAATAAGTATAGATAGATAGATAGAACTACAGACAGATAGAAAGACAGACCGACAGACAGACAGATAGAACGACAGACAGACAGACAGACAGAACGACAGACAGACAGACAGAATGACAGACAGACAGATAGAACGACAGACAGACAGAACGACAGACAGACAGATAGAACGACAGACAGACAGACAGACAGAACGACAGACAGACAGATAGAACGACAGACAGACAGACAGAATGACAGACAGACAGATAGACAGACAGAATGACAGACAGACAGATAGAACGACAGACAGACAGATAGACAGACAGACAGACAGACAGAATGACAGACAGACAGATAGAACGACAGACAGACAGACAGACAGAATGACAGACAGACAGATAGACAGACAGACAGAACGACAGACAGACAGACAGATAGAACGACAGACAGACAGACAGACAGACAGATAGAACGACAGACAGACAGAATGACAGACAGATAGACAGACAGACAGAACGACAGACAGACAGAACGACAGACAGATAGAACAACAGACAGACAGACAGAACAAAAGACAGAACGACAGACAGACAGAACGACAGACAGAACGAAAGACAGACAGACAGACAGATAGATAGATAGACAGATAGATAGATAAATAGACAGACAGACAGACAGATAGAACGATAGACAGACAGACAGACAGATAGAACGACAGACAGACAGAACGACAGACAGACAGAACGACAGACAGACAGATAGAACGACAGACAGATAGAACGACAGACAGACAGACAGACAGAACGACAGACAAACAGACAGACAGACAGAACGACAGACAGACAGATAGAACGACAGACAGACAGATAGAACGACAGACAGACAGATAGACAGACAGAATGACAGACAGACAGACAGATAGAACGACAGACAGACAGAACGACAGACAGACAGAATGACAGACAGACAGAATGACAGACAGAACGACAGACAGATAGAACAACAGACAGACAGACAGACAGACAGACAGACAGACAGATAGATAGATAGATAGATAGATAGATAGATAGATAGATAGATAGATAGACATAGATAGATAGATAGATAGATAGATAGATAGATAGATAGATAGATAGATAGATAGATAGATAGATAGATAGATAGATAGATCTTTTTTATTGCAATGTTTATTTCCATGTAAAAAAATAAAAAAATAAAACTACTTTATTTTAATTTATGTTTTTATTTTTATAATTATTTACTTATTTGTATTGTATAGTGTTATGAATGCTTTGGCAATGTAAAGATTTCTTTCACCATGCCAATAAAGCTCTTTGAATCTAGACAGACAGACAGACAGACAGACAGACAGATAGACAGATAGATAGATAGATAGATAGATAGATAGATAGATAGATAGATAGATAGATAGATAGATAGATAGATAGATAGATAGATAGATAGATAGATAGATAGATAGCAGTATATCAGATATATATCAGACAGTTATAATCTGTATTTGTATCTGTCATAATATTGCTTGTTCTCTAGCTTGAGAGCAAGGCACAGCATTGATAGGGCATGTGAGGTTTGTTGTGATGCACAGTATCATCTTCTTGTCCTCCAGCCCAAACATGAGATAAGGACATTAATAAAGCGGCATGTCCCCATCCAGCCTCTGCAGCGACAGGGATACGTTCCTCATCTAATCTCATTTTCCTGCTAAGTGGATTAGTGTTTAAAAGATGTCGAGGTAAAGCAGACCTGCCAAAATCATGTGTGCCTTAAAGTGAAGCAGAGACACGACTCAGGACTCAAGAGTGACTGACTCCATGAGAATGAAGGCTGATGATAATGTTGCTTAAAACACATTCCTTGCGACTATTGCAGAGTGTATGCTATTATATTTGCAGTTTTAGATCTCTTTATGCCTATAAATAAACTCTAAAGTCATTTGTGAGGGCAGATTGACAGACTCGCAGACTATCAGCTGAGGTTCTGACAATATCTGCGTTTCCATAGCAACATTTAGCCAACAACACAGTTAGAAGAAATAGGAGTAGTCGATGCCCAAGATGCAGTTTCACCATCTGCTAAACGTACAAAATTATAGCAAATGGAACTAATTTAAAAAAAAAATTGCATTGAAAATCAAGAGGGGATAAATATTAACTATTGTGCAAACTGGGACTTAATATAACTGTTAGCTACATTTTAGGAATCTGCCAAAACCTTTTTTTTTTTTTTTACAAATATTTGTACAGAATTTATTTGCATAGAGAAATCTGTGTTGGATCTGATTTCTAAAGTTTTTCTTTTCATCAGAATTGAAGATCAATGAAAAAATGAAAAAAATAAACACTATATGACTAATGAATCTTACACATTTCAGGAACTACTAAAAGGTGTTTGTTCATTTCTTTGGTCATATTTTATGTTGCATACACAGTAAAAAAAGAAAACAAATCATTAAATATTATAATTATATGTTTCTTTTTTGCATGGGCTTTTTGAGTTTTACCCAAAAGTTGAGGTAACTTTTTTTAATTTTGTCAATTCAAATACATTGGACAAATCATGTCTGTTCAAGGTTTTAGGTTTAAGTTTTCATGTCGTTTATTTGTATATTGTCATAGTCAATGGCTGCGTCCGAAATCACATACTCTCTTGAGTAGGTACTTATTTTCACTAGTTCACATTTACATACAGTATATAATCAGATCAGGTATGGAATATGAATAGTTGGCGTGCTGTCCGGGGAGAGGGCTCCAAGCTCGGAATCAGAGTATACTCCCCCCATCCCCATCCCTGCCTGGGATAGGAATAATCTAGAGTGAGGAGGGATGTTGGAAAACTGTCGTGGGATGCGAGTCAGCTATTTATGCCTCCTCTTGCGCTGATTGGTTAGATTATCTGAACGTGCTCATCCCGAACTGTGTTAATAAAACATCATTTGAATAAGTAATAACGGTTCTTTGCAACCACTAAAAAGTATGTTCCATATAGTATCAATGTGTGAAGTATGAATGTAATTCGGATGTACTACACCCGCCATGTTGTCATTAGCATGTGACCTACCAGCGTCAGTTCTCTTTGCTTCACTGTCATTCATAAATCCTCTCCTGTGGCCTCATGGGATAGTAAAGTGTCCATCATACAGAATCTCACCGGAAGTAATAGGTCATCTGGGTACTTTTTATCTACGCTTTTATGACTATAAATTCGGACATACTTCTTTTCGGATAACGCGATTTCGGATAAAGCCACGGTTTCTGTCTAGTGTCATGTGACTCCCTCTTCCCCTCATGTAATCCAGTCATGTGATCTCTGTTTCCAACTTGCTTGTCTGTCATGTTCTAATTGGTTCAATAGCTCCATCCCAATTCAAAGGCTGCATCCTTCGAAGGCCGATTGCATCCCAGCGGCGTGGCGAAGGCTGTCCCAATTCGAAGGCTCCTTCAAATGTGTCCATTGTTTCTCGTACAATGAAGGATACAACAGATGGATCCTTCGCAGCCTCGCCTACCCCAGAATTCATTGCGCGCCAGTGACGACAGGATTTTTTTTTTTTGAGAGAGAAATTGCCTATTTATACTTTCAAATGTAAGTATTGGGTTTCAACTTACTCAAATATCTAATGATAGAAATGTGAAAATATATTTTTTTAAAACTTTAAATCGGTTTCCAATGTTGACATATCTTACTAAGATGTGTATACATTCAGTCTATACTCTTTATTACATACAGAAATGGACAGTTGCTGGCGAAAAGAACAACCCTCCTTAGGCTAGACCGTACCATTTACTGTAACAACGCTCAGTCCGACCTTCATGACCTTCGAAAGCGTGGCTTTTGAAGTCCGCATCCTCTGAAGAATGCAATCTCTGAATTGGGACACAGCTATTGTCTTGTCATATGTCCCCCTATCATGTAGTTAAGCCCTCATGTCTGTCTGTCTAGTTGTCTTGTATGTATTGCAGTTTCCATTTTTCAAGTTTTAGAATAATCAACCTGGGTCCTCTACACCATCGTCTTTGTCTGCTTTAATGTAATTTACAGTACACAGTCAATTAAGTTTAGGCCCGGTTTCACAGACAGGGCTTAGATTAAACCAGGATTAGACCCTTGTTCAATTAGGACATTTAAGTAGCTTTTATGAAAGTGCCTTCGAAAAAAACATTACTGGTGTGCATCTTGAGACAAAACAATGGCACTGACATATTTTAAGATATGCCAATGCAAGTTGCTTTCAGTTAAAACAGCTCAAACGTGCATTTTAGTCTGAGACTAGACTTGTTTGTGAAATCGGGAGGTTAGTTTTAAATCACTGGTGTTTTTGACGTCACAAACGTGTGATCGTCAACGAATGGATCTCTGAGCTGGTGTGAGTGAGTGGAGGCGGGTCTAATTTGCATATTCATAGAACCCCGTATAATAACTGAGGCAAGGGTGAAAAACTACAGGGGGACTTTAAAGTGTCTGGAGTCATTATAAATCCTCTAAAGCAAATAGAGTATTAAATCATTTAAAAGCACTGCTGCTGATTCTTTTCCTGTACCTCAGTGAGTGGTTTAGGAAGTCTCTCCAGAGCGAACTCGAAGTGGCAGAGCTCACAGTGGCTGGTGCCGGAGGCCGTGAGCCAGTGCTCCAAACAAACACGGTGCACCATCGCCAGAGACCCCGCACACTCACAGGGTGATAACAGATCGCCCGCACTGCTGCCTTCATGACAGATACGACAGAACGGCTCCTCGCTGTTCAGACTGAAAAGAGAGACCAGGATATCCATCAGAAGACAATAACGGAAGATTACACAGGACTCCAGGCTACTAAAATTCCTTTCGTGGGGTGTTTAAAAATCATGTTAACACTATTTGTTTGGTATGGAATCCTGTTTGCACCATAGTAATAAATAAATAAATAAAGATGTTAATTGTGGATAGAGAAAAATAATAGATATGAGATATATTTTCAACTGTGAGATATGAACATGAATGGGCATGAGAATTAATCATATTTAAATTATATATACATACACACATATGCATGTACACACACTATCTTCAAAAGTTTGGGGGGATTACGAATTTTTCATGTTTTTGAAAGAAGTCTTTTTAAGTTGGCCAAATCAAGCTGTTGAAATGTGCAGATTATAAGCAAGTCTTTTTTAGGTTGTTTAAAAGTTAAGTTACCATTATTTGAATAATTTCATCATTATCATTATTTATTATTGCACTTTATTTTGGAATGGAAGCATGTTTGTACCTTAGTAAAAAAAAAAAAAAATAAAGAAGTTAATTGAGATAAAGTTAAAAAAAAATGTAGATATATGCATATTATGAGATATAAAGTTTCAACTGTGAGATATACAATATTATAAGTTAAAGAAATTAATACTTTTGAACTTTCTATTAATCAAAGAATCCTGAACAAAATGTATCACGTTTCCACACACACACACACAAAAAAAATAACTGAAAAAATCTGAAGGATCATGTGACACTGAAGACTGGAGTAATGGCTGCTGAATGTCACCGGAATATAATACAGGTAGGCTATTTAAAATTGAAATAATAAATAATGAAAGAATTAAATAATTACAATTTTACTGTATTTTTTAATCAAATAAATGCAGCCTTAAGTGAGAGGCTTTCTGCAACTTTCTGACATCAGATGAATAAAAAACTCATGACTGCACATATTTACGTCACCAGTGCCTAATGGGTATTCGGATAAATGGCTTAGACCCACCTGATGCCCACATGTGCAGGGATCACAGAGGACACATACGTGCTCCTGTGAATGGCTTCCTGCACAGGACCTGTGGAGGTCTCAGTATCCAGAGAATCCAGAGCAGCCTTGAGCCCAGCTGAAGACTCCTCACAGAGCATGACTGCTGCACACGAGGCCGTTCATACCTGAGCAACCGCAAGCTGGGAGACATGGAGACAGGAATCAATGAAGAGACACTGACAGAACAACCCGAGTCCTTTGTGTGAGGAACAGACTGAAATAGCTGCTTTTTTACTCTTGAGATATAATTTGGCGAGCTTGGATAAAACCGCTGTGCAAATTTATAAGAAGAACTACTTTTAATTTGAACACGAATGTGAATGAGATATGATAGAATGACAGATTTAACAAAAAAAATTACTTTAAAAAAATTTATATCTAAATGATAAATTATACATACCGGTACATATACTGTATACACACATACATATATCTACATATATATATATATATATATATATATATATATATATATATATATATATATATATATATATATATATATATATATGTCTGTGTATATATATGTGTGTGTGTGTGTTTCCCTCTTTAAACTATTGCAAATGATGATCACTTGCATTTGCATATTTGCAACAATTGCATGTACATACAAGGCTATCATTCACATTCAATGCATGTTTAATCAGTTTTTTTATATATATAATTACTAAGGCTCAGTCACATATGAATCATGGCTCTATAATGATGACTTTTGCTAAAAAAAAAAAAAAAGGTACAAAAACTGTCACTGGGGCGGTACCCTTTCAAAAGGTACACTTTTGTGACGCATTTATCCTTAAACGTACCTGGTATATTCTTAACTTTTGCAAGGGTACCGCGTGGTGACAGCTTTTGTACCTCCTGAGAGTGAAGGATTTAACTGAGGTTACACTCTTTTCCACTGAATGATGTACAGACTTCATGAACTGGTTGAAACTAAACTGTATAGGGGTGCGAAAGATCCTTTGAGAGTGTGGAAAATGCCAGGTCATTGAAATCATTCGTTTTATGAAGATTGTCCAAAAGTTGTTTCTGAAGGACAGACATCCTGCCTCTCTGAAATCGGTCAACAGATGCTTACGTCAGAGAGCAAACATTAAAAGTTGAAGTTTTGATTGCATGCTTTTCTTGCAAACCATTTCTCTGCTGTATCCTTGTGATGCACAAGTCAATGGATTCACAATGGAGGCAACATTAACTCTACTGTATACAAGCCACATATAACATTTGACCAAATGGACATCTAAAACAACTTCAATAGCACCATTCAATGACTTTTGCAAATGAAAAGCTAATTCAAAGTTTTCAGGAAAGTTAGGAACTTACCACCAGACAGACGCTGTTCTTCATCCAAACTCCCCATAACATGAGCAGAATCAGCCTCTGAAGGTTTAAAGGTAGACTTTCTCCCCCTCTCTCTCTCTCTCTCTCTGGTCAGATTAGCATGAGCCCAAGGTCGTTGGTGAGAATAGCTGAGGATTAGCTGGAAGGCCAGGAAAGCACAGGCACAGAACCGACAAAGGGAAATCCTTCTCACATCACCGTTGGTTACACTCCGGGCAGCTCCTCATTCAAGATTCCTTAATCCAGTTAGTTGTCACCAATGGCTTTTCATTTTCCTGACATTATGCTAATCGAACGGGGTCCTAAGCTTCGACTGTAAACCGTTGCAGATATAACAACAACAAACGGTGAAAGTGTTGGCAGCGTTTAAACCTCATGGACCAGGTCTAATTTTAGCCCGCTGATCTATAAGAGCGGCCTGATCTCTTGCTAAATACCTTTTTATCTTGTTCGCAGACTGACGTCTATGGTTCCGCATTGTGAGCATTTATTGGTTTTGAGAGATTCCCTTTGTCCAGCCGTGTTTACACTACTGTAAAGCACATACCAACACAAAAACAATCCATTGCTACATTTGAGTAGCAGATGCATTTTTGCCAAAGTATTGTTATGTTGCCAACTTACAGCTCTAGTGCATCAGTGTTGGTATCTTAATATTAAAGACATCTTTTACTCTTGAAGGGAAAGTTCACCCAAAAATAAAACAAATTCTGTCATCATTTACTCACCCCCAAGTTGTTTCAAACCTGTATGAATTCCTTTCTTCTGTTGAACACAAAAGAAGATATTTTGAAGAATGTCGGTAACCAGACAGTTGATGGACCCCATTGACTTCAATTAGTAGGAAGATAAATACTATGGAAGTCAATGGGGTCCATCAACTGTTTGATTACTGACATTCTTTCAAATATTTTCTTTTGTGTTCAGCAGAAGAAAGTAATTCAGAATTTTAATTTTTGGGTGAACCCCTTTAACCCTCTGGTGCTCTTCACGTGGCGGTCAAAAACGACAGATTTTTTTTTCAATGAAAGGAATGTAATATATTTTAGTTTGATAATGTTTTTTATTTAATATTTTGTATTTTTAGGGGATTTTCTGGTACTACATATTTACACAGTAGTTATAATGTATTTATTCGTAAATGTAAATGTATTTTCATGTTTGTATTTTAATGCTTCTTTTACATCTTGGCCAGGGGACTACAGATGAAAAATAGCCTTTTGGCTAATTCTGGCTTTTTTAACCATGTTTGTTCATGGGTTTTATGAAATTGCACTGTCCCCTCTTAAATAAACCAAGAAAGAAAGAAAAAAATCTTGAATGCTTTAAAGCACAGACTTAAGTTTGATCTCTTTTTAAAGACGACATTATTGCTGAAGTGAAAAAAAAGTTTTAAAAACTGACTTAAAAAAAGTTACAGAATTTTACGTTTATTGTTATGAAAAATCCACAAAAATACTATTTTAAATTTGTATATGAAATCTTTATTTTCAAAAACATGTTTTACTCTAAAACTGCAAGAAAACCAAAACCATAAATCTAAAAAATAGTGTGCCAAATTTGAGCTTGATATCTCAAAAAATGAGCTATCAGTAAGATTTTGTTTGACCACAGTACCAAAAGATTTTACTAGATGAAATAAGTCTCCCATTCATTTCAATTAAATTCATACTCCCATTCATACCACATCAATGTGGTCATTTTTGACCGTGAGGAGCACAAGTGTGACTATTTTTTTCAGACCATTAAACCATTTCAAATCATGTCCATGATTTTTTTTTGTGTTCACATAGCAAGTGCCGAAACCTTTACCAAGTTTAGTAACATTCCGATGAAATAATAATAAAAATAAATAAATAAATAAAATAATCGGTATAAATAAATAAAATATGACCGAAGAGCACCAGTGATCATAATGTGTGTGTGTATATATATATATATATATATATATATATATATATATATATACACACTCATCTAAAGGATTATTAGGAACACCTGTTCAATTTCTCATTAATGCAATTATCTAATCAACCAATCACATGGCAGTTGCTTCAATGCATTTAGGGGGGTGGTCCTGGTCAAGACAATCTCCTGAACTCCAAACTGAATGTCAGAATGGGAAAGAAAGGTGATTTAAGCAATTTTGAGCGTAGCATGGTTGTTGGTGCCAGACGGGCCAGTCTGAGGATTTCACAATCTGCTCAGTTACTGGGATTTTCACGCACAACCATTTCTAAGGTTTACAAAGAATGGTGTGAAAAGGGAAAAACATCCAGTATGCGGCAGTCCTGTGGGCGAAAATGCCTTGTTGATGCTAGAGGTCAGAGGAGAATGGGCCGACTGATTCAAGCTGATAGAAGAGCAACTTTGACTGAAATAACCACTCGTTACAACCGAGGTATGCAGCAAAGCATTTGTGAAGCCACAACACGCACAACCTTGAGGCGGATGGGCTACACCATCAGAAGACCCCACCGGGTATCACTCATCTCCACTACAAATAGGAAAAAGAGGCTACAATTTGCAAGAGCTCACCAAAATTGGACAGTTGAAGACTGGAAAAATGTTGCCTGGTCTGATGAGTCTCGATTTCTGTTGAGACATTCAGATGGTAGAGTCAGAATTTGGCGTAAACAGAATGAGAACATGGATCCATCCTGCCTTGTTACCACTGTGCAGGCTGGTGGTGGTGGTGTAATGGTGTGGGGGATGTTTTCTTGGCACACTTTAGGCCCCTTAGTGCCAATTGGGCATCGTTTAAATGCCAGGGCCTACCTGAGCATTGTTTCTGACCATGTCCATCCCTTTATGGTCACCATGTACCCATCCTCTGATGGCTACTTCCAGCAGGATAATGCACCATGTCACAAAGCTCGAATCATTTCAAATTGGTTTCTTGAACATGACAATGAGTTCACTTTACTAAAATGGCCCCCACAGTCACCAGATCTCAACCCAATAGAGCATCTTTGGGATGTGGTGGAACGGGAGCTTCGTGCCCTGGATGTGCATCCCACAAATCTCCATCAACTGCAAGATGCTATCCTATCAATATGGGCCAACATTTCTAAAGAATGCTTTCAGCACCTTGTTGAATCAATGCCACGTAGAACTAAGGCAGTTCTGAAGGCGAAAGGGGGTCAAACACAGTATTAGTATGGTGTTCCTAATAATCCTTTAGGTGAGTGTATATATATATACATATATACATATATTTCTTTTTGAGTATATTTTAAAATTCAATTTGCAACCCTAATTACATACATAGTACATACATACATACACATTGTATCTTGGCATTAAAAACCAATATCAAAATGCTATTAAAGTATAATAAGACACTTGCGGCCGAGTGTAACAGAGAACTTAACACAGCACTGTTAGGCATGATATGAAGCCCGAAAACAGCTCTTACCTGTTTTTAAATCAATGTAACACACAGCCTTGAGTGGTTTTGAGTGTTTGTACAGGCCTGTTTAATTGTCGTTCAAACCTCTGAGCATTGCCCCTGTCTGGACGTCCGATTAGTTGATTACAAATGTCTCCTAAAGCCAGTCGACGCAGACACAACAGAACCATAAAGGACAAAAAAAAGCAGATCTTTGAACACGTGAGAAACTCAGCTGCGACAATCGCGAGAGATTAGGCAGCAAAGGGTTGATTTATTCATAATATCTTTCTTTATACCGCAGGTCTAGCTTAGATGAAAGTGCAGAAGGGAAACACAAGTGGTCATATGAGAGACTTTCACTCTCATTGAGTCTCGCCCCATAAATCTGCCTCTTTCTTTCCTCCCTCTGTCTGCTCGCTTTTCTTTCTGTCCTGTTGGCACTAATCCTGTCTGCTATTCATGGCCAAGCTGCTCGCTAGAAAGGCCGGCGGGGACGGACATCAATGTGGATTTCTTCATGAACCACGTGAAGGGGTGAATAATTCCTTTGACACCTCTTAGACGCTTGCAGGAGAGACCCAGACACCAGGGATTACCACTGGAATAAAACAAGCTTTAGTGAAAGAGAACTTCCTCTTTAATGTTGTGGGATTCAGTGAGGTGTGACTGGCCGAGGCGCTATTGTAGGCCTACTTTCTGGCTACTTCTAATTTGATAATGAGAGATAAAACAAGTAAGAAGGAAAAGACAAGCCAGCTTTGAACTCACACCATCTGCATAAACACCCAATGTGCTGCTCCAACATGACAAATGCAATTTAAAAACCTTGAATATTTCTTTTTAACAGAAATTACGAGAAGTAAATGGTTCAAATTTGTCATTTCTTTAAGTCAACATGAAACACTGTTTCACAACCTATTTTACTTCCACAATGTGATTGATATTGAGTGTAACAGGACATCTATTGAGAAAAATTGGACGGGACTTAATTTTATATGAATATTAAATGTGTTAGTTACACATGTGCTTGTGTGATAAATGTTCAGACACTGTTGACAGCTCATCAAAGATCAACAGGAACTTTCTGAGCGCAGCCTTCCTGGAAACACAACATGGACAAGTATTCACACACACACACGCACACACTCCTATACTGACCTGAGACCTGCATCCATGTCTGATTGCCATGGGCAACATCACAGCAAAAGTTACTGATAAAGCCATTAGTCATGGTGAGTACTTCAACATCACCGGCCCTATGAGCCTGTACTTTATATGTTCAGAGGAAAACAAGGGCACATTGGCCTAAATGATATACTGCGACCTCAAAATATACATTTAAAACAAAACTAATAGATATCACCGGATTGAAAAAGAAAAAGTTTCTAAAAAGTTGTGTAGCCCTCTGGTATTGTTCATTTGGGAGTAACACTTGTGGTGTTCACGGTCAAATGTGACCGAACATCTGAAATGTAATTTTTTTTGTGTGTCAAATCAATGTAATATATTTCTGTTCAATAAATATTTGTATTTATTATTTTGAGAGAATTTCATGGTACTAATTAATATTTATGCAATAATTATGATAATTTTTTCCCCATTGAAAAATCCAAAAATTTGGGGGAAAAAAATTAAGGCAGATTAGTGCCATCTGATGGGAGTAAATAAAGATAAACTTGTGTAATGCTGTGATGTAACCACTAGATTCCTATATAAAGATGCTTATTAACTCTCTGGGTCTTTTTATGAATACTTATTTTTATTAAGTTGTGGATTTGGATATTAGACATTCTTAAAGATCACTTTTTGTCAAGGTTTATATATTTTTAGTTTGAAATGTTGATTTGAAGAGTCAGTTTTTACATTCATTTTACTACAGTAAAACCTGAACACAGAGAAAGACATTTTTCTACACATAACATCAAAATTCAATAAATTCTTTTACAAAAATGAACAGAAATGCTTTATCTGATTTCAACCTCCTATTTGAGTCTTCTGGCTCAATTTTGCCACATTGTTAAAGCCACACCAGGGTCATTTTGGGGTCATTTTAAGACATTGTAGGTGCTTCCAATTTGAATGTGAATGATGGCTTCTAAGATA